GGCAGCCCCGTCCCCAGCAGACTCTGCCTGCAGCGAGTCCCGGGAGCAGGACAGGGCTCGGGCGCTCACACGGGGGATGCTCCCTGGGAGCAGTCCCGGCCTGCGCGCTCTCTGGCTGCGCTCAGGGATTCATCTCCACAGGGAGCCTGTGAAATCCAGGCCATCAGCACTTCAGAAACACCTCACCCTCAGCTCCTCTGTGATTTCCAGGATCCTCATGTAGCACCTTGCCCCGTGAGTAATCCTCCAGCAATGCGGTTTGCCCAGGGGCAGGAGGACGCCTTCACCAGCTGCTCCACACACCCAGGTGCTCCAAAGTTCAAGCTCCCACCCTGCCTAGGGCTGAGCTTTACAGCAACAGCAGCCTGGCAAAGACAAGGTACCCCATCCGCACTGGGGATCTTCACTCCCCGCAGGGCTGGGTCTGCCCTGGGACTCGCTCTGCCCCATCCCAGCCCCGTTGATCCTGCCCAGCACGGAGACGCACCCAGGAGTGAGTCAATGGCAGCCCCCATGCCATTCCCAGCACCGCACATCACCGTCAGCGGTGCCTGAGGCCAGTCCTGCAGCGTGGTCGGTCCCAGACACCTCTCCAAGGCCGCACCGGCACCCAAAATCCCCAGCAAGCAGATTAAGCAGTGGGTGATTAGGACTAGACACAGATTAGCTCAGGCTGAGAACATCACTGTTGCCAGAGGGATCCCTTTCCCATGGCGTTTGCAGAGAAATAAGGTCCCATCTGGAAGCGGCTCTTTTGAGAAAGCAGGCGAACAACCCCGAGGCCACGCAGGATCACCCAGGTCCACGCAGAAGCTCATCAGCGACACCAGCATTGGTCCCACCAGTGATCCACAACCAGGTCCTCATCTTACATTTAGCTGCCTGGTGGGGTGTTAGCTATTAACTTGTCATGGGCCAAGTCTTGGCACTCCATCTCATTAATTAATAACTCTGGTGTCATGGGCCATTTATTAGCTGAAAATATTAATAACTATTAAAGGTCTTAGGACATCCGGTCATTAGCCTTCAGCAAGGAGTCCTGCCACTCCATGCTGCTCCCGAGTCCCTGCAGTGCTGGGTTATTTATCTGGGTATGTAGGAGAGCTGCCAGGTGTTTTTTCCCTGGTCCCTGTCGGACCGCAGGGCAGAACATCCTCCACAGCCAGCCCTGCAGGAGGATCCCCAGCAGAGAAGGTAGGTCAGCAGCACCCACAGCACAGAGGCATGGTCAAGGGGATGAGACGCGTGTGCAGGGCCTTAAGTCGAGCCTAGCCGGGTGTCCAGCCTAAATTTGCATCTCTATCTCCCCGCGACACACACCTTGCATCCCGGGTGCCAGGAGCCCAGGCACCTTGCGCAACAGTAACAGGCTGCTCCAGGTCCCTTCCCTGCCATTTAAAGGCATCAGCCTCCAGGAGGTTAATTTAAGAGGTAATAAACACAGCAATAAAAATAACTGTAAGCTTGGGGCCCTAACTCTGCCCCAGCGTGGGCTGCTGGAGCCCCAGCTGCCTGCGGGCAGGAAGCCCGGCCTCAGGGAATGGGACTTGCCGAATCCTGTTTGCTCCTGCCAAGGAAGATTTGCAGCTTTGGAGCACTTTCTGCAGGAAAGTCTCACCTGGGCGCTAACACAGCTCCCAGCTCCGGCTGGGCTGCAACAGCCCTGCTATTCTCTGGGAAATGCTGACATTTAAAAAATAAGGCAATTCTGCTCTGCCTTACAGAAGGAGCCGTATTTTGACATTTTCTTTGAAGTGGAGGTTTCATTTGGAAGCATTCCCTCCCGGAGTTGTTTGGATGCTTCTCCATCCCCACTAATACTGCAGATGATCTTTACTACATTGAAAAATGGGCTTTAAAAAGTCACAGCACTACAGGAGCCACAGCACCTCAAATCCTCCCATCAGAGCACTGCGAACAACCCAACAAATGCCTCTTTGCCTTGAAGCATCACAGTTTTGGGGGAAAACACACTTCATTTTTAACAGGAAGTATGTGCATGGGAGGGGTCCCACTCGCAGTCCTCGTCGGGACGCATTTAGTCCCGCGAGCTGTGGTGGAGCCTGCACAGCACCCCATCCCAACACAGCCTCCTGCTCCGGCGGGCTTGGGCACTCTGAATGACAAACCCCGTTTTACCCTCAGAGCAGCATCCAAGGTTGGCCAAGGTCGATGAAAGCTCATCATCCAACACAAGCCCAGGAAGCAGCTGTGGGGCTCTGCTCAGCTGAATCCAATCGAATTTGCTGCCTGGGGATTCATGGTGAGCTCCTCTCCTTTCCTCCCTTCCCACGGGGAAGGTCAGATCCAGCCCCATCCTGAACATCAATTAATGATGTGTTTAACAGAAGTGTGAGCAGGGCAGCACGGGGGAAGGTCCCATCCCAACCCATCCCCAGGCTCAGCCACACGGGAAGGATGAGCAGGGACATGTCCTGCCCTCTGAAGAAGAACATCAGCCCTTAGCACAGCTTCAGGTGGTCCTCGAGGTCCACACCCCATCTCAGAAGCTTAAGTGACCTTTCCAGCAGGCTCCAGTGCAAAACCCATCCCAGACCCAAACACCCCGGTTTTGGGGTAAAGGCGGATTCCAGTAGCAACTGGAAATGGCACATTTTCCTCTGCAGACCCAACAGCTGGCAGGCCTTTAAATCACTCTCCTAATCGCATGTAAATCCTAAGCAGCCCCCCAAGGATTAGAGGCAGACGTTTGGAAGTCTCACATGCTCCTGGGATGCGCAGCGGGGCCGTGCCCTCCCACCCACAACAGGTGCCCACAGTGGCACCCGACACCAGTGGCTTCACTGCCACCCTGGAGGCCACCACTGGCTGGCGCTGCGGCAAGGGCCACAGTGGGGACCCCATTCCACGCCCCCTGATGCAGCAGATCCTTTTGCATTGCCTGAGGCTGAATCTGCTGGACCCACCTTGATCCTAAAAACCTGGAGGAACTCCGGAAGCTCCAGGCACTTCCCTAGATGCTGCAGAAGACCAAATCCTTGTGGCCAAATTCAAAACTTGGAGGTGAATTTTGGCATGAGATTCGGACACAGAAAAGGGAGAAGGGCTTGCTCCAGGGTCAAGCGTGGTCCCCACCCCAGCTAAAGCATCCCAAAAATGAGGCACCCCGGTGAGCTGGATGGGTCCCTGCATGTGCAGGGGACTGGCAGGGCAGGGGACGAGCGGGGCACCCAGAGAAGTGGAGCTAGCAGAAGGCCAGCTCCCACCAACCCAGCCTCTCCTCCCCATGCGGCGTCACTGGAGAGGCTGGGGGACATTTTCCGCATTGCTGAAGAGTGACAAGTCTCATCGCTGACCTCCCCAGCTGGCAGGAGCGAGGCCGGAGCAGGCGTGGGAGCTGGGGCGTGGGAAGAACAGAGACCCCTGCAAAGTGGGGAGCCCCGTGGGCTGCAGGGACGCCCCGTTTAACCCATTCCTCAGCCAGAAATGGGCTCCCCAGGAATGCTCCCCAAAATCACCCTGCCTCCTGCCATCTTACAGCCCATCTCCAGGTGGAAGCAGCCCCCAGCTCATGCCTGCTCCCACACTGGTACCTGCTCCGGCTGGCAGAGATATTCAGCTGAGAGAACGGACAGAACCGGCACCTGCAAGGGCGCAGATGGACGACAACAAACTCCATTGCCCATGTGCACGAGGGAGCCCTGGG